AATCAAGGTATCTTCCTCAAAGTTTGCACATGATTTTGAGTTTAGAATATGCTTGTATACTACATGGGGCATGCATAGGACGAATACTTTCGTGATTATGAAGGTCGAATACAATAGAATAGGTGTCGGTGCTTACATAGTGTAATCTCATGATGGATGGCAGGATCTTTAGTCATCTCTATCTTATCCCTAATTTCGTTTAGCGGGCTTGATGTCTACCAGTACTTGTTAATCAATGATATGATTTGTCTAAAAAAAATTAACGACATGATAATCTGACATTGTCTAGTGTCCTCATGACACGTGATAATCTATCAATCGTTGATTTGACTAAACATGGATTACCTCATGGTAAGATCTAAGTCGTTAATTATCGTAACCATCTTGCTATAAATTTGAGTACATTTAAGGATAGACTTTGCAATTGAGAGCTCTATCGACTTGTGTATTTTCTACATACATCTTTCATTGTTTAGCGACTTAAAACAACCTAAGGATCCTGACCTTTATCTGTCATTTGATTGTGCTAAAATCTGTCTTCTCCTTTTTCCATACCTTCTTTGTCACATTTTGCTTTAATGGTATTGCTTGCGAATGACATTCTCTCTACCTCGCAGCAAAGTATCACACGTGAACCTCGGACACCATCTTTGAAAATAATAAAACGTTTTTTTGAGTTTATTCTTTGAAACCCTTTAAAAAGTCATAAATTTATTGTACGGCAATCAATTTAGTCCTAATTTTTTTCTAATTTGATCAATTTAATCCTAAATCTTTCGACGACTTTCCGATGTATTTATTCCGGTCAATTTTGATCAGAAATTGTTGACAACGCAATCCAATTATCATCAATCGTCTACATGGCACACACTAACATGGACGATCTTTGCAATTTTTTTTAATTTTCTGAATTTTTTTTCTCTTCTTTTTTTGTTCTTTCACTCGTGTCCAGTCTTGATGGCCAGTGATCGACCATCGGCGAGGGCCGCACTCGCCTAGATCTGGGCGAGGCTATCACGCCCCTCATCCTTTTCTTGTACATTCCATCGCACAAGAAGTTGCTCCTCAGGTCGCATAAGGATTCCGCCGAGGTTGCCGACGTTTGGCCCTCCACTTCTGCGTTCGACGGATATGTGTCGGCGCTGTCTCCATTGCAGCTTGCGTTATAGCAATAGCGGGTGATTTATGCCGATGAGGAGGCTCATCAGCTATCTTATATGCAAAAGCACTTGGCAAACATATTCTCTCTTCTCCGAGAGCCCGTGGAGGAGGGGAGGGCGAAGAAGACGAATCATTGGTTTTTACCATGGATAGATTTGAGCACCTTGGGTTGCTGCTGATTCAGTCCGGTGATAAAAAGTGTATTTTTGATTTACCCACAAGCCAAGCTGCTCCATTTTCGGCAAATTCAGACCCAGACGTGCCTGCTGTCCCCTTTCCAGCCACACAAGTTCATATGATTGCTAATGATCCAGGGTCAGCCACGCCCTCCAGATCTGGGGTAGGGCATCGTGGCCCTTGCCACCACCAGTTGTCGGCCATACCCTAAGACTGCCACACGTGCAAAAGAAAAACAGAGAGAGATAATATCCAGAAAATTTCAAAAAAAATTTCAAAAAAATCGTTCACGTCAGCTCCGGTAATCCCGGCCGTGCCACGAAAGATGACCGATGCCCGCGTCGGCGAAATTTCTGCCAATTTTGGCCGGAAGAATTATATTGAAAAATCTTCAAAAGGTTTAGGACTAAATTAGCTAAATTAAAAAGTTAAAAAGTGAATTAGCCGCTGCAAGATAGGTTTCGGACTTTTTGGATAATTTTTTCTGCTTGCCTTGTGGCCTCTCTTCGAGTCACTGTGCCACCAGTCTCATTGTCCAATAGAATGAGATTGTTGTTGGGTAGAACACGAGCTGAGCTTTGAGCTCATTTTCTTACATTTCTACTGAAAAACATGAAAATTTGGATGGCTTTCTGGGCCAGCAGCATTCGAATTAGGATTCATTGATGGACTTTGGATGACGAACTAGAGCAACAATCTCCCAACAGAAGAAGGGAGCTTGAATTCCTGAAGCCCAAATAATTCTTTTATTACTTCCAAATAGAGTAATGATAGATAAAGTCAGAAAACCCCCCGTAGTGCACATCACACAAACGCCTCCAAACCTATGAATGTGAATCAGATCAAGAAACAGAATTGTTTCGGACAAACTCAAATGTCGAAACTCTGTTCGAAGGTTGTATGTAAGTTCGGCTCTTGATTCTACCCGGGAATTGTTGATAGGATATATGACTGGTCGCACATGTACACGTGCGCAGTCGAAATTTTTACAATTTAGTCTATCTATTGCTGTGCTCTCGTGAAAATTCTAACGGAGAAATTAGTGTCAAATTTCTAGGGAAAAGAATTGTCAACATCTTCATCAAATTCATGTTAGAGGCTTCTTAATTTTTGTTACTTGCCACGTTTGAGTGCACCATCGTCAAATAGTCTTGTCGTGTGCTGCAGCTTTGTTTGAAGTTTGATGTTTCAGGAACATATCCTAAACAGTTTGCCAGACCGACTTTTTTCCGTTCGAAACCGAAAGTAGAGATGAACGGTTTCGGAGTAGGTAAATTGAAAATCAAAGGCTTGGTAACCTATTTTACTAGAGTCGATTCCAGTTTTTAAAATCGGGAACTAAATTGGTCTGACCCTGAAGCCGGCCTACCTCTATTTTCATTTTCCTTCTCTTTTTGTTTGTTTGGATTTACCTCGGATGATGACGAGAACACGTGAACTTTGGAGTCCCCTGCATTTCCAATCTCCGAAGCATCTACACCCCCAACAAAAAGAGAATAAAGTTCCAATCTTTGCGAACAACAGACACCAGAGGGAGGGGGGAACAGAAGGCAAAGATCATAGAAATCAATCGCCTAATTACTTGTCAGTGGAAGAGTCGCAAGAAGTGAAACTGTGAAACCCATTTGTCATCATTCAGGAGAAGTGAAGCGATGAAGAGCGCGGGGAGAGAAGTGAAACAGAGAAAGTGAGAAATGAGAGGCCAAATCTGAGTAAGTTAAGTGACTTTAAAGTTTGGTAGCCTCACACGTAATTAAAAAAAAAGCGATTAAAGTGACTAAGAAAACTTACAAAGTAATTGGAATAGAAAGGTAGTAGGGAGTGATTTCAGGATGAGAAGAAGAACTATGAGGGAGAGGAAGAGGGAAAGAACTTCTCTGATTTGGGAAAGAAAGGCGGGCCTCTTAAGTGAGAAGAGACATGCTTTTATAGAGTGATGAATAGTAAAAGTGCTACGGTGATGAATAGCGATGTATGTGTGTGTGTTCCAACGTTGGCCACATTATAGAAAAGATAAAAAAGAAGAAGAAATGGATAGGGATAGTTATCATTTTACCTACAATGAAATTCCATTTTAATGGTAGAACTAATGGGGTTCAAATGCGTGGTTAAAGAAATGGTGTTGGATGGAGCAAATATACCTAATTTTAAAAAGAAACGAGAAAACACGAAAAAAAAAATATTGCCAGTTTAAAAGGCAGGGAAGGACGACGAGCATTAGCAATTCCCGAAACGCGTTAGTACAAGGGTTTCACACTTGCTATATACTATTTCATCTTGCATTGCATTATTTAGTAGCATGATTTGATTCCATGTCAAGTCAATATGCTAAATTCAGAGTGCCGTAAAGGATGCTGAAAGCACAATGGCTATAAAGATGACAAGGCCTTTTCGAACATGGAATTAGGGGTCATCTTGGATTGCGGCTTGAGGGCCTAGGAATTATAGATCCCAAAGAAGTTCGATATGTAGAGTTGAGAAGAGGTAGATAATTTGAATGTAAGTTAGTTGCTCACTCTTGTAATTTGTGTTGATCACAGCTTATTGCTCCCAGGGAAAACTGTAATGAGAAGATGAATGAGCCCAGGAAGAGATGGTTTTACCATTCGGGTCAGTATAGCTCTAAGGAGCACTTCTTCGAGCTCGACATTAATATTGAAGGGGAGAGAGAGGTACTTAGATATTTCTCTCTTTGAACCGTGCTTCTATATTTGCCACAGTCACGCATTAGCCCCAGTCAGCATCAAGATTTCTTTAACCTGTCAATAGATATGTGGGAGGGCAGTTACTTCAGCTGAGAATCAGGTTAAATGGCCGCATAAGTAAATAAGGACCATCTGTAATCTAGCCTTTTAGACTGTCATGTAGCAGTTGGTAGTATGCTTTACTTAAAATTTCATCTCGTCTGAAGCTTATTTTGGGCTGGAAGACAATTAAATAGCCCGTATTACTTGGCAATTGAGAGTCTGTTTGTCGATGCAGTTGGGGTACAATGCGCAAGGCGTCGCGCTTCTTTGCCTTGGACTGGTGTTATCGTAGGATAAACCATTTGGGCTTTGTCCTAGAGTCTTCCAGGGGACTGATGAGAAGTTTAAGACTATCCGTCTGAGGTACACCTCTAGCATGATGCCTGTCTTGCCTGACACAATATTAGTTTATAGTTACACCGATCTTGGACCGGAACTTATGTAATGTTTCGACGGACTCGGGCAAGAAGCTGTTTGAAAACCTGTCGGCACTGCGTTTCTCACTTTTGTTGTTATGTCTTTTTGTGAGGCATTTCCAAGATGAGCACATACCCATTGGATACGTTTTGCTTGGTTCATTTTGAAGCCTATGCAAATGGTTTTCCTATTGAATCAATTTCAGACACAACAGAACCCTAGAGCGTACTCTAAAAGAGAGCATTTTCTGTCACCCGTGGTCCAACTAAGCCTAGACTGATTTAAGTGTCTATTATGGTACTAGTCGATAAAAAATGCTGAAAGCACAATAGATAATAATAAACAAGGCCATTTCGGAACTTTTCTGATGGATTGCGGGCTGAGGGCTGAGGAATCATAGATCTTCTCTGTCACCGGGATGATGAGGTTCGAGTCACCGCGAAACAAACTTAAATCGATGTGTGTTGTGGTGTGGGCATTATGTATCACAGGGTTCAATTAAATTTGAAACCTCGAGCACTTGATGGACCCGATTGATATGTCAATCTCGATCAAATTTTCTTCCTCGCAGTAGTGTATTCCGCTGACCTCATCTGAAAAGAAATAATCCATTGGACCATTTCCCTCAGAAACTGAATGGGGTGAATCAGGCATCTTCTTCAACTTGTGCACCTCTTTCTTCTTATGTCCACCAACGTAATGCCCGGTCGGAATGGCAATCTCGATAAGGCTCTCCTCATCTGAGATCGAACCATCTGAACAACAATCCTTCTCCCGAAAAATTGGCCACTCCGCTTCGCAGTCGTCCTCACTCGAACACGAGGGATTGAGGCATTCGCTTTCCAATAGTGAATCTGCTGATGTTGATGATCTCGCCAAGAACTCATCAACAGAAAATGCACCATTTTCTTCCAGGATTTCTTTCTCCGCTGCGAAACCGGTCATGTGCAGTAGTCGAGTTTCCGGGGTGGATGTGTAGACCGTTTCGCCAACGGGTTCTTCCACCAACACAGGTTTCTGCTTGGGAAAGTTGAAGAAAAGAGTGGATGAAGCCAAAACCAAAAGTATGCTTGAAACCAGAACTGTGGTTAACAAGCCAGAGCCCCAAAAGCCAGCAAGAATGAGCAACATAGCTAGGAAAATAAACCTGGGCACTAGTGAGTTTGGAAGGGAAGACATAATAGAAGGAGCCATCTTTTTTCTAAAACAGGTCTCCAACTTTAATGACGGGAAACAAATAAGCCTGGAAAGGTGTAAAACGGAGCAATATGGTATGCTGAAATGTGCCGGTGAAGGAAAAAACACATGTATTAGAGAGAAAAACAGCACTGAAAGAAAGGCAAAAAAAATAGAAAGAATGTTGGGGGAAGAATGAAGAGTTAAGGGAGAGAATCAAATGGAGGACCAAGAATATGTTCTTTTTAGCTCATCATAAGGAAGACGAAAGAATCATTCCGCAGTGAATGATGGAGTCAATGTTTGCATGAACAGTTGATTATTTTTTCCTTGTTGCTTCAGTTGCTTCTCGTTTGTGTTGTTGCTAGCAGGTTAAGGACTCGTGGCTAATGGCTCAGTGTGTGGGGGCACCATGCATAGTGAGATTATTTAAACTCGAGGACAACGAGAAAATGGCAGTGGGAAAGTAAGCTGTAGCTGAGAGATGCCTGCCTAGGAGTTTGAGGAACAGGTTGGTGTTCACTGAACTAGGTGTGGCCTCCACTGGTCTGCACAGAGGAAGCAGGTCAATTAGTTGGATGATCACATTCCTTTTCCACTCACAATCAGCACTTTTACATAAGAAAAAGATGGAGAGTGCCATCATTAGTGCCCCTGAAAATGGCATCGCTAAAGTTGTTGCCCTAAGACTTGGAAACAGCCTCAAAGCATGAAATGACCATGAGGCGGATCACGTGCCCGTCTCTGAGTTCAACACATGGCCTTTTGCTCTTCTTTTGAGGAAAACTTAAGAGAATGTAAAATAACAGGCCACAGACAGCAATGGGAAATGCTTGGTATCATTACTTTACCTTGACTAACCTATTCCAAGACTCCAAAGAACTTTCATCTTCTCTCTCTTGAGAATCGCAGCAATGTAGTATTATTTTAATAAAGTAGCTTGCGGTATTTGCCTCGCACCCTTGGCTTCTGCGCTGGTATCGCAAAAATTCAGGAAGTTGGATGTTTTTAAGGCAAAGTAATCCTAATCAGTACTAGAAGGATACAAGAAACAGGGTCTTACATCTGGAAGGACACTGGAAGAGATCTATCCACATAAAGGCAAATTTTCAAGCTAATTAATATTAGGAAAATCAGCTACATAACTTTCTTTTTCCATTCACATGCCAGACTAACCGACTAAGTTTACCCTTTTGATATGGTTGAGACGAATAATCTTTTTGGAGATAATGAGATCAACGAGAAGTGATTTTACATTCCTGCAGTTTGCGGCACCTGTGCCTCACATTGGACGGAGGAAGGTTTATGGCTTGACTGAATGTAGATAATGTTGGGTTCATCAACGAAAAACAAACGGAATATAGAACCCTAGACGGGATCCATGCGTATATTGAAATCGAAAAGGAATTTCGGTACGTACCTTTTGCGGATCAAAAATAAATCGCAAGCGATCGATTGTCGGATGAGCGCCCCAAGTGTTGCGCCTCTACCGGTATCCACACACACGAACGGAATTCTCCAACGATCCACGTGCTAGCGAAAGATCTTGAAGTTCCTTTTTCTTGAACGCCTTTTGCTTTTCGATACTCTATCGAAAAAACCCTAGACAGAGAACGATTCTCTATCTATTTATACTGACCTCATTATCTAGCGGAATTAAAAGAAGTGGGCCGGGCTATTTGGGCCCGCCAAACCGTCCACCTTCAATCGTACGTTTAATCGTTATCTCATAACGCGTACGACCGCATAGATAATTTAAATAGGAGAATAAATTAAAATCTACTTCTTAAGTAGATCAAGGCGCATAGACAATATTAAGTCCGTTCGCTATTGTGTGCGACCCCGTAGGTTCACTAAACATTAGCGGTGTGCCCAAAACTCTTTTGGCCCACAAGTCATAAGCGGTCTCTAGCAACACATTATGACTACCTAAGTATAGTGAAGATCGGTTTTCCGACACAACCTAATCCACAACTAATATTAGAGTATCAACCTTGATTGATTCTTAGGCGACCACTAACAATCTCCCACTTGCACTAGAACCAATCATATAAACTAAGTCTCTTTTGTCACTTGATTTCCGAGTTAAGCATAAGACAGGACAAGTGTCATCCTTATATAGCTTAAACTCATTTTCCCGATACCGCAGTTAGCTGTCAAAACAAGTAGTTGACTCTTCAACTCACTTGAGCATGGCCATGCATTTCAGTCTCAACTCTACGGAGGCCGGAAATCATACCCTCGTTATATGAGAGGGACAAATCCCATCTTGTCTACTCACATCACTCAAAGACGCTTCATGACATACCCGGTCATTACCTTTATAATCACCTGTTACGTGCGACGTTTGGCAATGTTAAAGCATGCCAATCCACGTCTAGTAAACCATGGTAGACTCAGGTCAAAGGACTATACTCTATAGCTGTGATGAGAAATACGATGACATTATATAACAATCCTACAGTATTCTCATAGCGGGTCATCCAATACAATGTTCTCCAACATGTATTCCATGTGATCAACTTTATATCTCTATATTCATGACCCGTGAAACTTGATCATCAGTTGACTCACATACTAGTCTCAAATGCCATTTGCGTCCCAATGCACAATGGCAAATTGACTAGGGACATTTAGAACATTAATATCCACTCTATCAATAGAATTTCACGATCAAATCACATATTTGATTATCTATTAAGGATATTCAATATTCAGGGGATAAAGATTTCGCATTCAACTATATACTCAAATTAAATCGAAATCAAATATAATATATATTTTATTAATGAACAATGAAAATGTATATCACATATACTCCCACTCACATCAAGACCAATCACTAATGTGTCTAAGGCCTAAAGCGTTACAATGACGCTCATGCTTAGGTTGTGGAAGAGCCTTCGTCAACGGATCGGCTGTATTCAACTCCGTTGCAACTTTGCACAACTTGACATCACCTCTTTCAATGAATTCTCGAATGAGATGATACTTCCCGAGTATGTGTTTGGTCTTCCGGTGAGACCTAGGCTCTTTACCCAAAGCTATGGCCCATTCATTGTCACAATAGAGGTCCACGGAATCGAACTAGTGGGCGATTCCCGTTCTTCTATGAACTTTCGAATCCAAACACTTCCTTTGATGCTTCAAGCGACAATATACTCACTCGTCGTAGAATCCGCAAGAGTTTCCCGCTTGGAACTTTTCCAAGACACCGCTCCACCATTCACGCAAAAGACAAAACTCGATGCGATCGTAGGTCGTCTTTGTCGGTTTGGAAACTAGCATCAGTGTAACCATTTACGGTGATCTGTTCTCACCTCCATAGACTAAGAATAAATCCTTAGTTCTTCTCAAGTACTTAAGGATATTCTTGACAAAGAATCCAGTGAGGTTCCCTGGATCCGACGGTATCTACTTGTCATGCTCAATGCATAAGCAACGTCGGGACGAGTGCATAACATAGCATACATTATGGATCCCACGACTGATGCATAAGGAATCCTACTCATGCGGTCTCGCTCATCTTGTGTTGAAGGACACTGAGTCTTGCTAAGACTTATGCCATGTGTCATTGGGAGAAAACCTTTCTTGGAATCTTGCATATTAAACCTATTGATGACTTTGTCAACATATGTACTTTGACTCAGTCCAATAAGTCTCTTAGATCTATCTCTATAGATCCTGATCCCCAAGATATAGTTTGCTTCTCCCATGTCCTTCATGGAGAAAAATTTTCCTAGCGATGTCTTAACCGATCGAAGCATAGGAATGTCGTTTCCAATGAGTAGTATGTCATCCACATACAACACTAGAAACACAATTGCACTCCCACTAGACTTCTTGTATACACAAGCTTCTTCTTTGTTTCGATGAAGCCAAACTCTTTGTGCAGTTTCATCGAAACGAATATTCCAGCTCCGTGATGCCTGCTTCAATCCATAAATAGAACGTTGAAGCTTGCATATCTTCCCAGTGTTATCGGTGATGTAAAGCCTTCGAGGTTGTGTCATATACACATCCTCCTCAAGATTTCCGTTAAGGAAAGCTGTCTTTACATCCATTTGCCATATTTCATAGTCATAATATGCAGCAAACGCTAGGATAATCCGAATGGACTTAAGCATGGCCACCTTGGCGAAAAGGTCTCGTCATAGTCAATACCATGAGTTTGTTTGAAACCTTTAGCTACTAGCCGTGCTTTATAGATGTGAACATTCCCATCCATATCGGCTTTCTTCTTGAAAACCCACTTGCACCCTATAGGTTTGACACCTTCGGGTGGATCAATCAAAGTCCAAACTTTGTTTTGATACATCGAGTCCATTTCGGATTTCATGGCCGAAGCCATTTATCGGAGTCTGGGCCCATCATAGCTTTCGTATAGGTCGTAGGTTCATCATTTTCTATTAACAATAGATGACGATGTTCCGTCACGTGAAAACCATATCTCATAGGCTCACGATGTGTTCTTTCGACCTACGAACTATAGGTGCCATGGAGTAGACTCTACAACTCTTTGTAGATCTAATTGAGGTTCCTCATGAACTGGAACACCCTCTTGTGGCACAATAACTTCTTCGAGGTTTACCTTACTCCCACTGGTTCCTTTAGTAAGAAACTCTTTCTCTAAAAAGACACCATTTCGAGCAACAAACACTTTATTCTCTGATGGATTGTAAAAGTGATATCCTTTCGTTTCTTTAGGATATCCGACAAAGAAGCATTTATCAGATTTGGGTCCAAGCTTATCAGAAAGTAAACGTTTTACATAAGCTTCGCAACCCCAAATCTTTAGAAAAGACATACTAGGAACTTTTCCTGTCCACATCTCATATGGTGTCTTCTCTATAGCTTTTGATGGACTTCTATTTAGTGTAAACGCATTGTCTCGAGTGCATATCCCCGAAAGATAATGGAAGATCCGAATGACTCATCATTGATCGAACCATGTC